TGCTACGCAGTTAGACTCAACTATCAAAGACGAAGTTCGTTAGTAAAAACGAAGCTCGTTAGATGAAGTTAGTAAAGACAAAGTTTGCTATACTACAAAGCCGGCCTTATAAGACGAACATTGCTGCATATTGAGGCTCGTCCAATCAGATGAACCTCACCATGCAGTGAGGCTCATCATCCGCAGAAAATCTAGCTATAACGGATTTGGGGACTTAGTCAGCCACGTGGGCTAAGCTTCAGTGATACGAGTTGCCGTGCGAGCACCTTTGATCGCGGAATTATCAAGGATGGGTTGAGGAGAAAACAATAAGAACACAAGAATAACTCAGGTTTTGGGCGAAGGAAAATACATTCTCTAGATTATGAGTATGCACTTTACAATCTCTCACAATCTCACTCTAGAATTGAAGAACAAGCTCTCCAAATCTCAATTACAATTTTAATCTCTCTTGATTAAACTCTCTGATTGTTTTAAACCCTAAAACAATCCCTTATATAGGTGTACAAACGAGGGTGGCAAAGTGGTAAATAACCAAGTCCAACCCAAACAGGAAAACGCGTAAATAGAGTCCTTAACAAATCTGGAAAACTCCGATGAGTCGACTCATGAATAATTATGAGTCGACTCATGACCTCATATGAGTCGACTCATAACTGATAAGTCGACTGGTCAGAAACTTTTGCTAACAGGGCTTGATTTCTTGAGTCGACTCAAAACTGTATATGAGTCGACTCATGACTGATGAGTCGACCGAGCAGAAACTTTTGACAAAATGGCTGCACTTCGTGAGTCGACTCATGACAAGCATGAGTCGACCCAACCTGATGAATCGACTCATATACATGTATGAGTCGACTCACGAGCTGAAAACTGGATTCTTCGAATCTGTTGCTCGTAGTCTCGTTCCACGCTCCAACCTGCGTTCCCATGTACTGTTTGACACCTCTATTCTCATGCTATCATGAGAATCATCTATTCTCAAGCTCCCATGAGGATTGCTAAGTTCCGAAGAGAAGATACACCCGTATCATTTAGGAGCACGTTTCGCCCCAGTAACCAATACGGGCTGAATTAAAGGAGGCAGTTACGCCCTCTATCCAAAATTTTATCACGTCGGTTACGTGCTGAAACTGTATAAATAGTCATGAACGGCTATGAAGAGAGGACACTTGAAGATTTTTGGCAATCACGTGAAGAGAGATTAGTGTCTGCAGTCTCGTGATCTAAGTCACCGTCAGAAGCTTTCGTGATCTTGATTTGATCATCAACGAGAAGCAATCTCAACTTGAGCATCGAGAGAAGCATTCTTTCACCGCCAAAAATCCACTTTTAAATAAAAAAGAAGTCAAATTAATATTCTCTTCCTCTGTAATCGAGAGAGTGAGTGATTGTAAGGGAATCGTACCAAGTGATCGAACCAATTTCTTAACACAAAAAATCAATCAAACTTCAAACTTTTTCGACCCTACAAATATCTGGTTCCTCCGCCCTCTCCTTTTTTTCCTCTGAGCAGAAGATTCTTCCCCATATGGTGGCGACGATCACTCAATGGAAAAATTCACAAGGCTATTGAAAGGGATCTCAGGGAAGTCTGAAGAACACGAAAAAAGTGAGCAATCTCTATTCTCTCTCTCATAATTCTCGACAAGATTTTGATTTCTGGTTTTAATTTGTCGGGCAAAACATCCATTGAGCAAGAGACCAAAGTTCGCAGTAAATTTTGGTGCCGACCTTCTCGGGGGTTCTTACTGCTAGGCGTGGTCGCATTGAATCGCCTCTGCGAAGGCGGCGACTATTGTTCTATGGCAGTGATCACACGATTACCCCTTTCTCAGGCATGCGTTTGTAACCTGTTTTGGAATTCTTTTTTGATTATTTGTAGTGATTTTTTCTAACAGTTACAACTCTAGTGATAAGTAACAAAATGATAATATTGCTGCTGAGCAATTAAAGCTAGTAGAAAGATATGGTATATGATCTGATTCAGATCATTGTAATGCTATACAGATGGCAGAGCATTAATATCGAGCCTCAGAGCTCTTCTGTTATTGGACTAATTACAATTATAAGGTATCACATCCTAACATGGGAAAACTATCCATGGATCATGTTCATAGTGTTGTAATGGCCACACGCATTTACTCCCATATCGGAAAATTAGTATAGTTCTCACAGGGTTTAAATGATGAGTATTTAGAGTCAAGTGTAATATTAATTATATATAGTCGATTTTATTAATAAATAGAGCTAAATTATGTAACCCACTCAGTTGGTCTCACGACTTTCTCGCATCAACGGACTTATAGTCTGAGATGTGACACATTAACGTTTGTCTAATTCTATCAAAAGAGAAAGCTCCTTGGATCATTGCACTAATTCATAAGTCAATCATTATTTATTTTTTATTTTTGCACGAGTTCAAGGCTAGTCTTTCTTTGGAACACAGTGTGTCTATCAATTTCTACTAAAAACCAATGTAAATTAAGTAATACTGTCAAATTAACCATCATTACTAGCCTATGTCCTTGACTTTTGTTAGATTTTTTGGTCAAAACCGCTTTCCAAAATGAGTTTTCAATATATATATATACAAGCCGAGAACTGTTTTATTTTAATTAATCTCTCATAAGTTCTAGTGTGCCGTGGGCTCGTGGGCCATGGGCCGTGGGCCAATGAGCTGGGGATTGGGGCTAATCGGACTGAGACGCTAAGTGGCGCTTTGTTAGACACACTTTGCACTTCGCACGGATGTATCGGGGCGAGGTGGCGCTTTTTGATGCCACGAAGGTTGCCTCGCAGGCTGCTTCGCAGCATGCAGACGAGCTACACATTCGCACGAGGGTGTGACCCTAGCGTTCTCGCAATCTGACGAGGTTCGTCGAGTTTCGTCTGATTCACAAGATCATACAAGGTTCGTCCGTATGACGAGGTTCGCTTGTCAAACGAGGTTCACCTGTTTGACGAGGTTCGCCCGTTCAACGAGGTTCACTCGTCAAACGAGGTTCACTTCTTTGACGAGGTTCGCCCGGTCGACGAGGTTCGTCCTACAGACGATGTTCATCTGATTTGCTGAGATGTGACCCTCGCACATTTCGTAGTAACGCGTCCATTGATTGCCTCGTATTCAGGAGTTACTGCATGCAGCAGTTTCAACATCATTTAGAGCAATTTAATGCATTGATATTACAATTTTAATTGCCATTAAGAATTGTAACAATCACATTAATTACGAGTGACTCTTGAGCTAGCCTTAGAGGTCTATAAATAGCGCCCTTGGGCAGCTCATGGATATACACACGCGAGCTTGGAAAACAAACGTCAGATCAAGGAGATCTTGACATTGTTGCTGTTGTTGTTGTGCTGCTGCAGAAACTGTGCCTGCATGAACTTGCCATAAAATCAAAAGGTTCTGAGATCGAGGAGATCTTTGCCTTGACCGAAAGGTCTTATAGATTGAGGAGATCTTGATAGTACTGGGTTGGTGCACACCATAGTACTGTACTGCTGTTCCTGAAAACAATTTGGCCTTGGGATCCTTGCACCGGAGTAGACTAAATATTGCTTTAAGCACAATGTTTCACAAACGCACAACAGAAAACTGAAAAAGTTTTAAATTACAGCACATCAAATTTTCTCTGTTTTATTCCATATTTAACCACAATCTCCAACAACTTTCATGGTTATCGATGCATTTTTTTGACATCCAAAATTATAATTACATAACCATTTCTTTCTTGAGCCTTGCTTTGTGTTAATTACGGTAATTATTTATCAATAGTATTGTTGGTAATCCAAAAGTTAAATTTAGAGTGTCTAATTTGTTGGAAATTAGAATTAATTTGGAGTACCACTGCCACTGGTAGTATTAGTAACTCAGACTGTGAGCTACGGCCTCAACATCGACCACCTCGTCCCGCCTGATGGGGATTCGATAATGTATCAAGGACTGATCTCCTTCGATAGCGCTTGGTGGTAGAGGCGTTGGAGTCATCCTTGTGTTGGGGAATTTTAGTTTCCTCGCCACACTACAATCTTCGCAACTCGGAAGCTAACCCACAATCAACAAGATAGAAAATAACCACAATTAAGAAGAAGAACACCGAGATTTACGTGGTTCGGTCGACCAACTTCGACGTGCATCCATGGGGGCAACAATACGAGAAATCCACTATGTATCAGGGAGAATTACAAGAGGAATCATTCAACTCTCGTCTCTCAATCTCTCAATCTCACATACATAATTAACTCTCATATTCTCTCCAAATCCCACTCCTTAGAATCTTTTGAACGGATAAAAACTGTGAAAATCTCTCCCAATGTTGTAATCTTCTGTACGGATAAAGACTATGAAACCATCGACCACTCGCACAATATTCTTGAATCAGGCTATGCCCTCTACTAAACCTAGATTACAAAAATATTAGCTCTCTCTCTTCTTCTTCACCTTGGTTTTTCCTCCAACAATAGAATGATATATATAGGAAAACCAAAACCATATCTCTAGCCTAACTTCCTAATTAGAATAAGATTCAAACTCCTAATCATAATAAGATCCAATCTCCTAATCATGATAGATCTCTAATCCTATTGAATTCTCATGAAGTTATACAAAGAATCAAAGACTAAATCCCAACACCTTTCTCATCGGTGGTCTTTGGGTTTTGTGTTACGATTTTTGGGGCATCAATGCAAAAGCTCATTCTAATTTTCAGAGTATACCGAAGCCGCTAGCTTCATTCTTTTATACTTTTATAAGAAAACAACTGACATCAAGATTATTGTAACTAAAAGATGCTTATCATACGTGGCATTGCGTCGGCTATCTCAGGGACTGCCACGTAATCTACGTGTCAGCCAGATAGAAGTTCATAAATGACCAACAACACTACGTCAACCGCTGTCCCAAGGACAAACGCCGTTGGAAAACTAACGGCATACTTAATGGAATATTCCCTGCCCCCTACAACCCCCATTTAAACCCCCAAAACTCGAGCCCGAAACCGTCTCGATCCCCCCCAAAAAAAAAAAAAAAAATCTCATCAATGGCTCTCAGTGCCGTTAACGACCAAAACGTAGACACCCAAGCTCTTGCATTGCGCCCAAAAGGTCAGGTTCCGATTGTTTATTTGATGATATTGAGATTTTGTAGAAGTTTTTTTTTGTTCTTGGGAGTGAAAGTGGGTGAATCTGAATTGGGTGGAAATAATAAAATTCAGGGTTGAAGGAGGCGGGTGGGTTCATGGTGGTGGGCCATAGGGGGAAGGGGATGAACGCTCTGACGTCGACGGACCGGAGGTTGATGGCCGTCAAGGAGAACTCTTTGCTGTCGTTTAACCAGGCTGGCCGCTTTCCTATTGATTTCATCGAGTTTGATGTTCAGGTATTTATTGCACGCCGTTATTGCTTTCTGCTCTTTTGGCCGTTTGTTTTTGTTTTTGCATTTTAGTCCTCGAAAACTTTGTGAATAGCATTTTGGTGCGTGAGGACAAAAGCTTTAAAATGTGTTATATTGAATTAATTCTATATATGGTTTCACCTCAACGATATGGGACCAACGGGGACACAAATGAGATGTTCCGCTTCAATTGCATAATGAGCTGACCATCATTAATGATGACCAGCTTATTGTGCAATAGAAGGGGTTATGCAATAGGAGGGAGACACCTCACCGGTTCCCAATTGGTCCATATTGGGAGACACCTCACCGGTTCCCAATTGGTCCATATTTTAGATCCTTGGGAATTTTTCTTTAATAAAAGAAACGAGTTACACAAGTTACATGTACTCTTTAAGAAAGAGGCTTGCTCTAGAATTTAAGTAGTTCTAAAATTTCTATAATATGTAGATATAAATAGTATTTTCAAGTTTTATGGTGATTCCAACTTCAAATTGAAACTCTGAATTTTTTTGCCATGGTCATCTGAAGGAAACGATGCAACGATATGGAAAAAAAAGTAGTAAAAAAATGACAAAGAAATAATTAAGATTACTGTGTGCACATGCATGTGCAGTTGGATGCACAGAAAAAAAAAGCTTTGTTCAAGAATGCTTGAATGCGTTTAGATATTAACAATTATCACGACTTGTATGCATAGTGAGTGATCCCTGTCATCGTATAACCTTTATTGCATCAGTCACGAGTTAATGTGAAAGTTATAAATTTACAACAAGCAATGCTTTGAAATTAGTTGATGCAAAGTTTATATAATTTTGTCTTTTACCATCAATACCATGTATACCGTCTATTCAATTAAGGAGGTCATAGTAATTTATTAATTAGCATAGGAAAATGAAAGTAGATAACATGAATATCACTAACTTTTTTCAAATGACAATGATCTCAATTTTGATCGGGAGAATGAATATTCAAGGATACTAGCGAGTTTGAACTAGTAAATGTGGGAAAAAAGAGCCACCTTAGATTGAATCTAGTGATGCACCTAGAAAATTATATTATATGCAATCACTTTACTTAATCCACTCCGTTCATTTTGATCTATATCTTTTGGGTGGTGTATAAACGAAAAACTAATCATGCACAGGGGCGGATCCAGGATTTCAAATAAGGGTTGTCATTTATCAATCATTATTTTAATTACTATTCACATTCATGAGAAATTGAGAATTAAATCTTTCAAATAGACTAATAGAGGAAAAGTTTAAACATACCTGAAATTGGCTCAGCTTTGGACTGCTTTGATTTAATTTGTGAATATTTAGATAAGTTTATGGAAATTTAGGATTTCTAAATTTTAGAAGAAGAAAAATAAAAAGGATAAGGGAATGACCTAAATTGAAGGGGTGAGGGGATGAGATCATGATTCGTGATCAGTAAAGGAAGGGGAAAGGTCTCCCCGCTCCCGCCTCTTTTAGTTTTTTAACATGAATTGCCTAATTAATGAAAGGAATGAAAAAAAATTGAGGGTATGCAAAACCACTCGAACCCGCGACCTCTAATAGAAATTTCAAGATTTTTACCATCTCAGCTACATATTCATATTGTCTTGGGGTTGTCATATGCATACTATGACAACCCCGTAAATCCGCCCCTGATCATGCATCAAGTGATTATAAAATTAACGGTTTTATGACAATACACCTAAAGAGACAATGAAAAACATGTGTTAGAAGTTTTGAAACATGCTGATTTTTGTTTTGTAAATTTCTTAAAAGATTTAAATCATGATGAATAGAGCAGATCGTCCATTGGAATAGCCCAATCCATGCATCAAGAGGTTCATCCTTAGATTCAACCTAAGGTGGCTCCTTAGAATTATATTTCCCTATATATATAAATACACACACAGTAGTCTGGAAAGTTACAAGTGTAGTTTTAGTTGGCAGTTTAAGTTTTTGTTTGCAATTCCCTTTGTGATGAAGGGCTTGTGGTCAGGATTCATTGGTTGATATTGGCTAACGTTACTTGATCGCTTTAGCCTAACAAAAGTAAGCACTTTTTAAATAATTGTATTCACTTGTCGACTGGTGATGTCGAAAAAATTGCAAAGTACAATTTAATTTTGCAGTTCTGCTTTAGCTTATTTCATGTCCGAGCACTGATATTTTTGTCTTTCTCCCCCTCTTTCTCCTCCTTCCTTTAAAAAAGAATTGGGTGATTGAAGAAGCTTAGAAGAGAACCATGAATATGATTTTGCAGGTTACGAAGGATGAAATCCCAATCATCTTCCACGACAATTATATTCTTACTGAAGAAGCTGTAAGTTTCTCTCCTTCCTGCATTTTTAAAATTTTGTTAATTTCTGTTATTACTAGGAGGACGATTTAAATTGTTCAAACTAAACTTCATCCATTGAAGTGCATCTTGATGACGGACCAATGATGCCTCTGTTTTATTTTGGATTTGGTATTCTTGGGAAATGAACAAGGTTTTCTCACCATTTAAAGCAATTTTTATCATTTTAAGAACTTTCTATAAATATTTATTTCATGATCATTGGGTGTTTTTTCTACGTAGGGGACTATTTTAGAGAAGCAAGTTACAGATCTCTACTTAGAAGAATTTCTCTCTTACGGGCCTCAACGAGATTCGGGAAAGGTAGATCTGTTGACCTTCCACTCAATATTAGGCTTTGCAATGAATTCTATAGAACTTTGACATATACTTTGGAATATAGGTGGGGAAGTCAATGCTTAGAAAAACAAAGGACGGAAGAGTATTCACTTGGATGGTAGAAGTTGATGACTCTCTCTGCACCCTCCAAGAAGCATTTCAAAGTGTTGAGTCTCATTTAGGTTTTAACATTGAACTCAAATTCGATGACCATGTTGTCTACGGAGAAGAAGAGCTCACTCGAGCTTTAAATGCTGTGTTACGGGTATTTTTTTATTTGTTACATACCCATCTTACTTACGAAACCAAAGCGAAGGTTTACATGACACAAATATTTTAATGTAACTACGCTCTTATCGAAAATCTATTTAGGTAGTCTTTGAGCATGCTAATGAGAGACCTATCATCTTCTCGAGTTTCCAACCAGATGCAACACAACTGATGAGAAAACTGCAAAGCATTTACCCAGTAAGTGGTTTTCCATATTTTAGGGATTTTTTACGAGGCATAAGACTGCAATAGTTTATTTTGAAAGTATATATTTTTATAAAAACCAGGTGTTTTTTCTGACAAACGGAGGGACTGAAATCTTCAGTGATGTTAGAAGGAACTCTGTGGATGAAGCCATTAATCTGTGCTTGGTGAGTGGCTTGCAAGGAGTTGTGTCGGAAGTGAAGGGGATCTTTAAGGATCCATCGGCGGTGTCAAGAGTTAAAGAATCTAGTCTTTCCCTTTTGACCTATGGGAAACTCAAGTAAGCTAAATTCTTTTGCTCATTCAGTTTTCAATATAATATATAGTACTTGTCTGTTGTCTACATCTCCTGTGTTTAAGTGTTCCTACTGGTAAACCTTATGGAACTTTGTTTCTTAATTTCGATAGTTTCTGTTGCATAATTTGTCTAATAATGACAGGGTCATCTAGCATTTCTATTTGTATTTTAGGCATCACTATTTGCATGGTCTTACTGTATCTATCAATTAATCTATATGCTGTCAAAATATCCCGTTGGGATTAATAGCACCTGATATCATGAATTATCCTTCGTAAGTTTGCTAATTATTAGTAACTACTCATATAATTTTGACTTGAACCAATGTGATTTAAACTCTTTGGGTTACTCTAGATAACTCGGGAGTGATGGAAGGAAATCATGGTTTGAGTTATTGAACTATAGACTTGTTGCTAGCTAGTTTCGTGTTGTCCATCATATAATTAATGAAATATTTGCCATAAACTGGACCATATAATGCTCTAATCTGTTGTGTATATGACTTTAAGTTTATAACACATCTTCATTTTCTTATTTAAGAAAAAGAGAGAAGGTGTAGCTGTTACTAATTTCATAGAACAGGAGAGAACGGTCATAAGAAAATTAGCATGTTTTTCCAATTAGACTGTTCAAACAGGACATACTGCAAATTAAGGACCTGAATAACGGGTAATTCTTTTTCTCAAACGAAAACTTAATCATGCCGACGATAAGATTGGCTTATAGGGCTAGAGCCACTCTGAAGGACATTAAGGGGTTAATTTTAGAAATGTCGTTTGCCAATAACGAAACAAATAGGTATAACTGCACCTGTATATGCCCTTCGGTAAATCACTATCGCAGTTGTAAATTTTTCCAACTTTTCCTTCTTGGTTCTGCATATGCGAGATTTCTGTATAAACCTTCTAACAATGTTGTGGTGTGAAAGTAAATGGCTGACCATTCTGGTGTACGAACTCTAGCAATGTCCCTGAAGCAGTGTACATGCAGCACCTGATGGGGATCGACGGTGTGATCGTGGACCTCGTGGAGGAGATAACAGTGGCTGTTTCGGTTTTCATTAGGCCCGTATTGAGTAACGGAGTAAACCAGAGCTCAATGCAAGATGAGGAGGAAGAGGAAAAGGTGGTCATTGTGGAGTATAACAGGCCCAGGTTCTCAGAACGGGAGCTTTCATTCTTATTCAGGCTCATACCTGAACTAGTTGAACCCTGAAATTTAATTAATTACGAGGTTACAAGACTGATGCCGTACTTATATACCTATGTTATGTTGTATACAAAGAAGAGAGCTAGAACTGGAGCTTTTTCTTAAATAAAGAAATCATTAAGTGTCATCGGTTGCTCTTTGGTTGTACTTGTTATGTGGGCTTGCTTTCTGTTACTGGTCTTCAGCATGCCATTCAAGGGCATGAATATCCTTTTCCATACAAAACATTCATTTTCATGCCAGAATTTCAGAGCTTTTAGCAGAGGAAAAGATTTAATATCAGTATTTTGGAGTTGATGTAAAAGAAAAGATTTAATGCTGTGAACGTGATGTGTGTGGGTCACGTGGTGTGTGTGGGTCCACGCGTTTTGGGAGCAGAACGTGATTTTGTTTTTTTGATTTCCGCGTGAACAATGCCAGGCCCACCCGAACTCCAACTTGAGCCTATATATACTATTCATTACCTAGGGCATAACACGCAAGGAGGATTTGTGAATTTGGCGGCTATAGTGTAAGGCGTGCGGCTGCAGACAGTTGAGGAGATTTTTTTTTTTTTGTGAGTTTCTTTTAGGGTTTAGTACAGCCTTTTGAGAGAGTTTTGTGTGAGGGATTTGAGAGTTTGTTTGAGGGTTTAAATTGTGAGTGATTGTAAACCCTAGTTGTATTCTCTCCCTCTATTAGTAGATCTCCCCCTCCTTGCCCCGTGGACGTAGGCAATTTGCCGAACCACGTTAAAATTGGTTGTACTGCTTTTGTGTGATTTGTAATAGCTTTTAGGGTCCCTCGACGCGCAGTCCTAGAGCTGACGAGAGGAAGAGCTAATATCCTACTTTGATAGGATATAGGCTTCAGATTCTTGTTCCCTTTGAGAAACAAGAATTCTTATTGCGACCTAACTCTTGTTGTGCTGCCGAAGTGCTGCCGAAATTTCCGCTGCGCGCAACAAGTGGTATCAGAGCCCAGATTTCAGATCTAGGGTTTTTTTGGTGGAGGAAGATTCTTGCGTGAAGCTTAGTTCTTGGAGTTCTCGGCTTCGGTGGAGATAGCATTAAGAGTTGCCGTTGGAGATTTCGCTTTCCTCGTGTGGATAGGAGATCTATTTGGAATCCGATCTAGGGTTCAGTTGGGTGGTTCCTAATTTCTATCAAATTTGTTCTTTCTCTACAATTTTGGAGTTAGTTCGCAATGGGAGAAGAAGGTGAAAGCAGCAAATCGATGGCGGGTACAATACAAGTTGGTTTTCAAAACACCAAAATTAGTGTGGTGAAATATGACGGAAAAATCAACTTTGGTTTGTGGATGAGCGACGTACAGGATGCGCTCAATGCTCAAAATTTAGAAGAGACCATCATGGTCCACGAGAGGCCACCTAAATATGAAGAGGCGGTATGGGATAAGATGAATAGGAACGCTTGTGGGGTGATCAGGTCCTGTTTAGAACAGGAGCTGAAGTATGATGTGATTGGGGTGACGTCTGCGATGAAGATGTGGGAAATTCTCAACAATAAGTACCTTACAAAGAGTGTTGAGAACAGGTTGCACTTGCTGCGAAGACTCTTCAGATTTCAGATGTCCAGAAGCACCATGTCCAGAGGCACCTCGCTTGTGGCTTATGTGAACAACTATACGAAGTTGTTGTCGGACTTGGCGAATGTTGATGAGAAGATATCGGATGAGTACAAGGCGATTATTTTGTTGGGCTCCTTACCGGATGAGGAGTATGATACCTTTGTGCTCACTTTGTTGAACGGGAGATCTTCTATCAGCTATAGTGAAGTGACTAACGCTTTGACGAACTACGATTTGAGGAGGAAGGACAAGGAGACTTAATTTGTTCTTTCTCTACAATTTGGAGTTAGTTCGCAATGGGAGAAGAAGGTGAAAGCAGCAAATCGATGGCGAGTACAATACAAGTTGGTTTTCAGAACACCAAAATTAGTGTGGTGAAATATGACGGAAAAATCAACTTTGGTTTGTGGATGAGCGACGTACAGGATGCGCTCAATGCTCAGAATTTGGAAGAGACCATCATGGTCCACGAGAGGCCACCTAAATATGAAGAGGCGGTATGGGAGAAAATGAATAGGAACGCTTGTGGGGTGATCAGGTCCTGTTTGGAACAGGAGCTGAAATACGATGTGATTGGGGTGACGTCTGCGATGAAGATGTGGGAAATTCTCAACAATAAGTATCTCACAAAGAGTGTTGAGAACAGGTTGCACTTGCTGCGAAGACTCTTCAGATTTCAGATGTCCAGAGGCACCTCGCTAGCGGCTCATGTGAACAACTACACTAAGTTGTTGTCGGACTTGGCGAACGTGGATGAGAAGATCACAGATGAGTACAAGGCTATTATTCTTTTGGGCTCCTTACCGGATGAGGAGTATGATACCTTCGTGCTCACTTTGTTGAACGGGAGATCTTCTATCAGCTATAGTGAAGTGACTAACGCTTTGACAAATTACGATTTGAGGAGGAAGGATAAGGAGACTTCCCGCGCTAGTACTTCAGGCGAGGCCTTGTCGACGAGAGGTAGAAGCCCATATCCGAAAGGTGGTATTAGAGGAAGGTCAAAGTCTAAAGGCCGCCATCAATTAACAAAGAACCAATGTGCATTCTGCAAGGAGCAGGGACATTGGAAGAGAGACTGCCCGAAGCTCAAGGAGAAAGAGAATGGCAAGAAAAAGGGCCCGAAGGCCAATGAGGTGAACATTGCGAAAGGCGATGATTCTGTTTGGATGCATCGGAGTGGATGCTTGATTCTGGCGCTACTTATCATGTGACTCCTAGGCGAGATTGGTTCTCATCATTTGAGAGACTCGATGGGGGTGTTGTGGTCATGGGAAATGATCAATCCTGTGGCGTTCGTGGGATAGGTACCGTACGGATTAGGATGCACGATGGAGTAGTCCGTGAGTTGAAGGAGGTGAGATTTGTTCCTCAACTGAAGAAAAATCTTATCTCAGTTGGAGCTTTGGAAGCGAAGGGATTCAAGGTGACTTTCGAAAACGCTGTAGCGAAGGTTACTAAGGGATCATTGGTGGGATCTTTGGTGGTGATGAAGGGAGTCCGAAATCATAATTTATATTATCTGAAGGGGAGCACCGAGATTGGCCAGGTTGCTTCGGCTATTTCAGAAGCGGACATGAGCAGACTTTGGCACTATAGATTGGGGCACACAGATGAAAAGTCACTGCAGGCATTGTGCAAGCAGGGGCTATTGAAGGGAGCCAAGAGTGGGAAGATTGAGTTCTGTGAGCACTGTGTTCTTGGCAAAAAGACGAAGGTGAAGTTCGGGACCGCTATTCATCAGACGAGGGGCATCCTGGACTACGTACACACAGACGTTTGGGGTCCTACCAAGACTGCATCACTTGGTGGTCGACATTGGTTCGTCACTTTTGTAGATGACTATTCTAGGCGTTGTTGGGTGTACACCATGACGAAGAAGAGTGAAGTCCTAGATTTGTTTGTGGAGTGGAAAAAGAGATTGGAACTGCAGACTGGGAGAAAGATCAAGACGTTGCGATCCGACAACGGTGGTGAGTATACTTTCAGCAGCTATGTTGAGACGAGGGCATAGAGAGGCACTTCACAGTTAGTCATACACCGCAGCAGAATGGGGTGGCGGAGAGATTGAATCGGTCTTTGCTGGAGAAGATCCGATGCTTATTGTCGCAGAGTGGTTTGGAGAAGATCTTTTGGGCTGAGGCACTTACATATGCGAGCCACCTCATTAATAGGCTGCCTTCATCTGCGATTGAGGGGAAGACCCCTATGGAGATGTGGTCGGGAGAGACAGCACATGACTATGACCAGCTTAAGGTATTTGGTTGCCCTGCATATTATCATGTTAGAACTGATAAATTGGAACCTCGAGCTAGGAAGGCCATATTTGTAGGATTCAAGCGTGGTGTCAAGGGATACAAGCTTTGGGATCCAGTGGATAAGAAGATTGTGTTGAGTAGGGACGTCACATTCGATGAGGCTTCTATCTTGAAGCTTCCCAGCTCTCATCAGGTGGAGAGCGATCCGACGGAGGAGATATCGCAGGTGGTGGAGATCGATGCATTTGTTACATACCCATCTTACTTACGAAACCAAAGCGAAGGTTTACATGACACAAATATTTTAATGTAACTACGCTCTTATCGAAAATCTATTTAGGTAGTCTTTGAGCATGCTAATGAGAGACCTATCATCTTCTCGAGTTTCCAACCAGATGCAACACAACTGATGAGAAAACTGCAAAGCATTTACCCAGTAAGTGGTTTTCCATATTTTAGGGATTTTTTACGAGGCATAAGACTGCAATAGTTTATTTTGAAAGTATATATTTTTATAAAAACCAGGTGTTTTTTCTGACAAACGGAGGGACTGAAATCTTCAGTGATGTTAGAAGGAACTCTGTGGATGAAGCCATTAATCTGTGCTTGGTGAGTGGCTTGCAAGGAGTTGTGTCGGAAGTGAAGGGGATCTTTAAGGATCCATCGGCGGTGTCAAGAGTTAAAGAATCTAGTCTTTCCCTTTTGACCTATGGGAAACTCAAGTAAGCTAAATTCTTTTGCTCATTCAGTTTTCAATATAATATATAGTACTTGTCTGTTGTCTACATCTCCTGTGTTTAAGTGTTCCTACTGGTAAACCTTATGGAACTTTGTTTCTTAATTTCGATAGTTTCTGTTGCATAATTTGTCTAATAATGACAGGGTCATCTAGCATTTCTATTTGTATTTTAGGCATCACTATTTGCATGGTCTTACTGTATCTATCAATTAATCTATATGCTGTCAAAATATCCCGTTGGGATTAATAGCACCTGATATCATGAATTATCCTTCGTAAGTTTGCTAATTATTAGTAACTACTCATATAATTTTGACTTGAACCAATGTGATTTAAACTCTTTGGGTTACTCTAGATAACTCGGGAGTGATGGAAGGAAATCATGGTTTGAGTTATTGAACTATAGACTTGTTGCTAGCTAGTTTCGTGTTGTCCATCATATAATTAATGAAATATTTGCCATAAACTGGACCATATAATGCTCTAATCTGTTGTGTATATGACTTTAAGTTTATAACACATCTTCATTTTCTTATTTAAGAAAAAGAGAGAAGGTGTAGCTGTTACTAATTTCATAGAACAGGAGAGAACGGTCATAAGAAAATTAGCATGTTTTTCCAATTAGACTGTTCAAACAGGACATACTGCAAATTAAGGACCTGAATAACGGGTAATTCTTTTTCTCAAACGAAAACTTAATCATGCCGACGATAAGATTGGCTTATAGGGCTAGAGCCACTCTGAAGGACATTAAGGGGTTAATTTTAGAAATGTCGTTTGCCAATAACGAAACAAATAGGTATAACTGCACCTGTATATGCCCTTCGGTAAATCACTATCGCAGTTGTAAATTTTTCCAACTTTTCCTTCTTGGTTCTGCATATGCGAGATTTCTGTATAAACCTTCTAACAATGTTGTGGTGTGAAAGTAAATGGCTGACCATTCTGGTGTACGAACTCTAGCAATGTCCCTGAAGCAGTGTACATGCAGCACCTGATGGGGATCGACGGTGTGATCGTGGACCTCGTGGAGGAGATAACAGTGGCTGTTTCGGTTTTCATTAGGCCCGTATTGAGTAACGGAGTAAACCAGAGCTCAATGCAAGATGAGGAGGAAGAGGAAAAGGTGGTCATTGTGGAGTATAACAGGCCCAGGTTCTCAGAACGGGAGCTTTCATTCTTATTCAGGCTCATACCTGAACTAGTTGAACCCTGAAATTTAATTAATTACGAGGTTACAAGACTGATGCCGTACTTATATACCTATGTTATGTTGTATACAAAGAAGAGAGCTAGAACTGGAGCTTTTTCTTAAATAAAGAAATCATTAAGTGTCATCGGTTGCTCTTTGGTTGTACTTGTTATGTGGGCTTGCTTTCTGTTACTGGTCTTCAGCATGCCATTCAAGGGCATGAATATCCTTTTCCATACAAAACATTCATTTTCATGCCAGAATTTCAGAGCTTTTAGCAGAGGAAAAGATTTAATATCAGTATTTTGGAGTTGATGTAAACACCGAGGTGGAGAATTGTGAACGTGATGTGTGTGGGTCACGTGGTGTGTGTGGGTCCACGCGTTTTGGGAGCAGAACGTGATTTTGTTTTTTGATTTCTGCGTGAACAATGCCAGGCCCACCCGAACTCCAACTTGAGCCTATATATACTATTCATTACCTAGGGCATAACACGCAAGGAGGATTTGTGAATTTGGCGGCTACAGTGTAAGGCGTGCGGCTGCAGACAGTTGAGGAGATTTTTTTTTTGTGAGTTTCTTTTAGGGTTTAGTACAGCCTTTTGAGAGAGTTTTGTGTGAGGGATTTGAGAGTTTGTTTGAGGGTTTAAATTGTGAGTGATTGTAAACCCTAGTTGTATTCTCTCCCTCTATTAGTAGATCTCCCCCTCCTTGCCCCGTGGACGTAGGCAATTTGCCGAACCACTTAAACTTGGGTTGTACTGCTTTTGTGTGATTTGTAATAGCTTTTAGGGTCCCTCGACGCGCAGTCCTAGAGCTGACGAGAGGAAGAGCTAATATCCTACTTTGATAGGATATAGGCTTCAGATTCTTGTTCCCTTTGAGAAACAAGAATTCTTATTGCGACCTAACTCTTGTTGTGCTGCCGAAGTGCTGCCGAAATTTCCGCTGCGCGCAACAAATGCGATATAGTTGATGTAAAAGAAAAGATTTAATGCGATATTATTTAAATTCCACCGTTCTCGTTTATACTCTTGGAGTTGGAAGAATAGAATGTATTTTTACGAAAAAAAAAGTAATCACAGCTGGCTAGAGCTCTAGTCAGTAGGGCTTCATCATTTCTTCTCACAAATAAAACAAAATAAATAAATAAATAAATAAATAAAATATAATAAATAAATTTCACTAGCCATAAATTTAAAATGGATTTAGAAAAAAAAGTTCATATCTTAGATCTATTAAATGAGTGATCAATTTGCCGAACCATGGTAGAGTATAAATTACGGTAATCCTTAATCATCGCGACAAGTTTGATGTTTTAATGCAGTGTGAAGGTGATATTGATAAGAACGTGAAAAATCATCGTCACGAAAAGTTTGAAGTTCTGGCGCAATGTGAAGGTGATATCGATCGATAAGAATATGAAAAATCTTTTTTTCATTTTTGTTCGATACAGATGGTTTAGACATGGATATAGATATTGGACATGAATGTCAAATGGATTTAAGAAATTTATATATACAGATAAAGCTTCTACAATATGATCTAACATAATACTACTAGGCTATAATCTCATACCACAATTAAATTAGAGAAGATTAAAAGTGTGGAGTTCCCCCTCTTGAAGACTTGAACAGACTTGAACGGTTATAAAAAAATTAATGGGTCTTTAAGACCCTACACTTTTGTTTCTAATACTAGTAATACAAAACAAAAGTAGTCTGGAAATTTGTAGCCCAATGATCACTTCCATATGATTTAAATATTTCCGAGCAACTTTAGATATGACAAGCGTGACATACAACCCGCATCATCAATTTGTACGCAAATGGCTCAATAATACTAAGGAAAACTTACCTTATAATTATATAGCGTTAGATCTATTTGAAGGGATCAAATTTAACTCATTTTAATAATTGCAGAACCTTTCGTGTTGTTTGTTTAATTCCCCTTATACCCAAAAAAAAAAAAAAAAAAAAAATCTTTCTATATTCTACAAAATCCGAAAAACAAAGTTAGGTCACTAAACCACCCAATTAAAGCTCCAAATTAACTTACCCTGAAGACAAAGGCATCACCGGGCCTTTCCTCGCAGTGACAATTTATAGGTACAACCCATGTTCCTCCTTTTATTTGTTTAAGCGCGTGAGAATCTCGTGTCTTCAAGTTCAAGCAATGACCAAACCCGGCCATACTTTTTTTTAATCTTCCCACTCTTTAATACCATTGTCAAATTTTACTTAATTAATTAGAGACCAAGAAATTAAGCTCCCGTGATTTCTTTTATTCTTTTAGAGGAGAAGTCCTCAGGGGGTAATTTTCAAATCCGAGGAAATCTGCCAAATATATTTTTGTCAACCTTTGATATGTTTATTGAGACTTTAAGACTCGCTCCCAGGCTAGAGGAACACCTAGGAAATCTTCTTGGTGTGATGCGTTAGAATTTCTCTCGTGTAGTTGGTCATAGTTTGCCTTTTTTTTTTTTTAAGGGGTTTGCTTTGATTTAGTTTAGACTTCATTTATATCTAGAACCAAAGCGCTGATCTTTTTATTTTTCGATAAAAGTATTTAATTATACATCAAATAATTAGTCTCTCCTTACTTATCATTTGGAAAAGTATGGATATCCTCAATATCGCAGAAAAGAGAAATTAAAGAAGAGAAATTACAAACAGCTAGCTTATCACTAGCTAGCATTTCTAATTAGAACTTAATTGGCAACTACAAAATAATACAACTAAACATTTGCCTATAAAAGGACTAGCTTGCTTTCTTTCAACCGTAAAATGCTTCAAATTAAATTAAAAGGGATGGCGCCAAGGTTCGACGATATCCGGCCCGGTCCCAGGTATGATTCCCTTTGGTAATGATTGCTTCTGACTGAGTTTTCCCTTTTTTTTCCATAATTATCCATTCACAAAGTTTTCTCTACGTAAGCATGTTCTCATGTTACGTCATCTACTTTACGTGGACGCAAGTAATTGTGGAGGAGGAGGGTTCTAATTTATGAAGTGTTTAGTTTAGATGGCTGGTTACGTCGGGGCTATTTGATACATCGATCGCAATTGTAAATGCGCAGCAAATGACGTCATCGATTACCTAAAATTAATTTTATATCCGTTTTTTTGGATATTTTCATTATGCTATAGAGAATGTATTTTCAAATCTAAACCTAGTATTTGTTTGTTGTTGAGGTCTAGCTGATACGAATTTTTTAGTCAAGATTTTACAGATACGTATCGGGTCAAGAAACACACATAGAACAAAAACGTGCAGGTACATAAACTGAACGAGGTTCAATACGAATCCTTTGTCTTTGGACATCACGAAAGGCTCTTTATTTCTTGTTATTCAGCGAACAGAGACGGAGATAGAGAGAGAACAAATTAAAGAGAAAATTACAATTGGGGCTGTCCATTTTGCCCGGTCAATACGAATCCTTTGTCTTTGGACATCACGAAAGGCTCTTTATTTCTTGTTATTCAGCGAACAGAGACGGAGATAGAGAGAGAACAAATTAAAGAGAAAATTACAATTGGGGCTTACCTAGGGGGCTGGTTCTATAAATAGAGGGGGGTTTTCATTTGTTTTCTTCACACCAAAAACTCATCTCTTCTCTCTTATACTCTTATACTCTCTCTTATACTCTTATACTCTCTTATTTATACTTTCTAATCCTTTCATCAAATGGCTTCCGGATCTGATTATGAAGAGCAAAACATATCTCCCGATCCTGAATTGAGTCCTCCTACTATGAGTCCTCCTACTATCAGTCCTCCTACCGAAGTTAATCCCGAATCCGGTGGCGACGAATCTGCACCAAGAGCTCCTAAACGGCCAAGATCCGATGTGTGGAATTTTTACGAGAAGATCGACGTCACCAAGGATGAACACGGTAGGATCCTCACCCAGAAGGCTAAGTGTGCTTTGTGCGGCAAGATTTTTCAAGCTCATCATAAGAGCGGCACCAACCACCTCAAACGCCATTTAGATAAACACAACAAAGGCCAGCCTCCTCAAGGTGATATCCGACAATCCATGATTTCTCAATCCTCCTCTTCTGGTAGTCTCGGTAGTTGGAACTATGACGCTGCCAGAGCCAGGAAATGCGTAATCAGGTTTATCATTCTTAAAAACCTTCCTTTTAAATTAGTAGAAGATGATGAATTTGAAGATATGTTTAGAGATGGTTTTTATCCTGCATTTAAAAAATTTTCTCGTCAAACCTGTCAACGTGATATTTTAAAATATTATCAGCAAGAACAAGAAAAAATAATTTCTTATTTTAAAAATTTAAACTGTAAATTTTCTTTAACTTCTGATATTTGGACATCTAGAGCACAAACTGGATATTTATGTATCACAGCACACTGGATTGATGAAAATTGGCAAATGTTTAAAAGAGTTGTTTCTTTTATTGCAATAGAAGAGTCACATACTGGTGCTAATGTTGCAAATTTAATAATTGAAGAACTTATGAAATTAGAAATTTCACAAAGAATATTTTCTCTTTCACTAGATAATGCAAGTAATAACAATGTAGCTGTTGATTTTATCAGATCATCTTTATCATTGCCATGTCATGGTGATCTTTTTCATATTAGGTGCATCTGTCATATTTTAAATTTAATTGTTCAAAGTGCATTTACTGAAATTAAACCCATGATAGAAAAGGTTAGAACAGTTGCTTACATGCATAGTGCTTCTGAACAAAGACTTAAAAGATGGAAACAATTTTGTAAAAGAAAAAATGTAAAGCCTAGACTAATTCCAAAAGATGTTGACCATAGGTGGAATTCCACATATGCAATGTTAAGTGTAGCAATAGAATATAAAGACATTATAACTGATTTTATAAACTATTATGCTTCTAGTTCTAGTTCTGGTAGCACTTATGGAATAACTGAAGATGAATGGACAGTTATATGTAATTTAAATGAAATGTTACAAGTTTTTTATGATGCTACCATGTTATTATCTGGCTGTTATTAACCAACCATTACTTTAGCTGCTTTACAAATTTTAAATATTTAAAATTTTTTTGATAAATATCGTTTGGATGCTACTTTTGGACCTATGGTTTTTGAAATGGAGAGCAAATTTAATAAGTATTTTAGGTCTATTCCTCATATTTTTGGTTTGGGGG